AGGGCGGGTTCACACCTTGACGGAAAAGCGGAAAGTGGAAAAGCAGTTAACCGATCAGAACTCGTCTTGGTAGTAAAAAGTACAAAACTAACAGAAAGTCGATTACTCGATTGGCTACTGCTTTTCCGCATTCTGCTTTTCCGTCAAGGTGTGAACCCGCCCTTTAGTAGGAGAAAATTAGCGCGGCTTACCGCGCGCGGTTCCTAGTTACTTTACCGCCTACCACGTACCGCGTTCCGCGCTGCATGTAAAAGAAAAAGAACAGACTTGAGCAACGCAGCTAAAGCTATATCAGTATATCCACACAAACTTGTATAACCGCATAAACGTATGCATAATGAAAATTATCCAATCACATTTTACGTGCATCTCTATAAAGCGGGGAGCACAGACTTTTGCATAATGCATAAAGCATGTGCATAAGGAATTTCATTGGCCCATTTTCTTATGCATGAGTCAATGGACCAATCAAATTCTTTATGTATATGTATTATGCGTTATGCAAAAGTCTGTGCTCCCCGCTTAAGGGAAATGCAATTGCATAATTTTCTTTATGCATGCGTTTATGCAGCTATGCAAGTTTGTGTGGATAAAGCGGGGAGCACAGACTTTTGCATAACGCATAAAGCATGTGCATAAGGAATTTCATTGGTCCATTTTCTTATGCATGAGTCAATGGACCAATCAAATTCTTTATGTATATGGTTTATGCATTATGCAAAAGTCTGTGCTCCCCGCTTATAACTTAACGCCTGCAATGCCACAAGATCGGCATTGCGAATTTAATGCACTATGTGATTTCGGTCTTACGCGATAGGCTGTTCGCAACATATACGTGATTGGAGCTGATTGGCGCGTCGATGGATGGTTGGGCGGAGGCGGAGGCTCTATCGATTTAAATTTGGTTTGCCGGTGCGCGTGTCAATAGTGAACGCGAAGTCGTCGCCGTGCTGTGCTGTGAGTTTTAGGGTTATTCCTTTGAGCTTATTTCCCTCGCGCGATACTCCGAGCAAATTTAAGCACTTTACGCGCGGCGAATATGTCTGAGCAAGGGAAGCATAGGACGACTGCGGAAATGGCGAACGAGCCGATCGAGTTTGAGAGCGTCGTGCCGAAAATTAGGTCAGTTTCATGGGTTTCACGTTCGACCGTGCAGTATTCTCACTATTCCACATTACTTCACACTACTTGCGAGGGACAGATGCGCCCTGTGCATGCATATGTATTATACTATATGTATTATATATACAATGCATATGTACATACGCATGTTTGTAGACGACATGGTAATCGTGCCGCACGCGTACAGTTCGTACAGTAATGCGCCCACGCCGGCCGTCGCGCTGGCCATGCGCATGCATTTAATCGCGATCACGCGGCCACACCTCCTTGCAACTGTGCACACTTTACGTATATAAAATTTCGTAGTGACTCATTGTCGACGTCGCATCGTCACTCCCCCGCGTTTCAAATAATATCTTTGTGAACGCGACATACGTAATTGTAATGTTGATCGATAATAAGACTTCCGTACTCATTTTTCAAGATATTTTTCTCGCCTTCCGTAACTTATATTATTTTATGTTGTCTACATAAACAATCTGTTTTAATAATAATTATTATATTAATAAGTAATTGAGTCTAACGCGGCAGGTGGAATATATTAGCTAATGCGTAAGCTGAGCTAAGCGAAGGAAATAATGTACGCGCAAATTTCGAAAAATCGCATTTCAATTGTTCTCAGCACTTGGTTCAATCGAATATTTATGGCAGTCATGTGATAAAAATGTGCGCGGCACACACCGACAATTGAAAATTCAAGCATTTCGAGACTCACTGAGATTCATGCAGACTCGCGCAGAGATATAATTATATTTAGCTTTCGAGATTACTCACGTATACATTACATTGTTGATGTTTAAGGCAGCAGTTATTGAAATGGAACGGCTGGGGTTACAAGGATTCTGGTTTTCGTGTGAATGACAAGAATGTGATCGAGTTTACAGGTAACAGGTGAGTTTCGTAGGACCTTGCTATTTTAGAATGTTGATCGATATATTTTGTAATGAGTATTGAGTATAATAACACTGCTATGTGTATGTACGTTCAATGAACAGCGTGAAAACAACATTAGGTATTTCCTTTCACCGGCAATGCGAGAGGTCTTTAATTTAAAGCATGTCGATTTTTTGATTAGTGTATTTTAAGAAAATGATGTATCATAGCGGGTTTAATAGTTCCATTTGAATCGTTAACTATTAAGTATCTATATATTAAATAGGAAGACTCAATTTATATTAATAGTCAATAATATTATTATTGGACCACGGCTATACACGTTCAAGCTTGTGTATTATACTTAAACTATATTTGCGATAACTGTGCAGTTGTGTTATATTTACACATTCTAATAAATTTGCATAAGTGTGCTTGTACCGTAAATTCGTATGTATTGTATTTACAATTTCACCATATCGCGATTTAAGCTGGAATAAGTAGATCTGTTCGCATTGTTATTAAAATTCCCCCAAATTTTTGCTTTTTTTATAGATAAGATAAATATACATATATTATATATGCAGACATGAAGAGAGAGAGAGAGAGAGAGAGAGAGAGAGAGAGAGAGAAGCAAAGATGCTAAGTACAAAAAGTGGAAGCAATACGCGAACAAACATTCTGATTAGATTTTACAGAGTTTCTACAGTTTGAACTCTCTCTCTCTCTCTCTCTCTCTCTCTCTCTCTCTCT